CCTCTTTTAGCATTTATATTTAATAATATATACTAAATATACATCTATTATTATATCTTAAAGAAAATAACTTATAAGGCGTTTTTAAGTGCTTTATTAAAGTTGATTATAATAACTTTAAGCGCTTTAATTTTATATTAATTTTAAATTTAATTAAGAGCTAGTAAAATCTATTAAAAGATAGGTTTACTCTCTTTTATAATAAGGGTAAATATAATATTTATGCTAAAGTTCTAGTTTATAATAATAATTACTTAAAATAAGTGTAATTTATAATAGTTAATCTTATAAGTATTATTTATATAAAGAACTTAAGGGAAAACTTTTTATTTATTAATATAAAACCGTGACTGTTTATTAGTAATTTTAGGTAATATTAGGTATTTATTTAAGACTTAGCTTCTTATTTAATGTATTATTATTATTATAATTATCATTATTTAATACCCTTGAGCTGTAGTAAGCTATTCTAGTACTTCTACACCTAGTGCGGGTGGCAAAACCCTTTATATGGGAAGAAAAAACCCCTCGCCCCGATTTAGTGTCGTCTCCGCCCCGTCCTAACCTCGCGGTTAAACGGGGCGCGTTCTTATTTAATATATAAAAATTTATCAATAAGCTATAAAAGGTAATATGTAAGCACCTTATAGGTTCACGTATTTTTTAGGGGTCGTGCTAATCGTGCTACTAACCCTAGCTATTCGTGCTACCACCCCACCCTAATTTTAGGCTTACACCCTAACCTACTACGCCCCGCTATATAATTTCACATATATTACCCTAATAATAAGGGGGTTATTACGAAAATGCCTTATAATAATAAAAAATTCGGTTATAACTATTATATAATATTAAAAAATTAAGCTATAGCTACCTAAGTAGCCTTTTTATAACTCTATAATAATATTATTATAGAGTTATAAAAAGGCTACTTAGGTAGCTATAGCTTAATTTTTTAATATTATATAATAGTTATAACCGAATTTTTTATTATTATAAGGCATTTTCGTAATAACCCCCTTATTATTAGGGTAATATATGTGAAATTATATAGCGGGGCGTAGTAGGTTAGGGTGTAAGCCTAAAATTAGGGTGGGGTGGTAGCACGAATAGCTAGGGTTAGTAGCACGATTAGCACGACCCCTAAAAAATACGTTATATTAATAATATATAACTTTATAAATTTAAACCTAATTTATATTTATTATAAGAATTATTAGCTAAAGCTTAAACTTATAATTATTCTTTTTAATAATAGCTTATTAAATTCTACTTACTTTAAAAAGCCTTTTAAAGCTATAATAATATATGTACGGGTAGCTTATCCGTGGGCTCTGGGTAGGTTGAGGTAAGAAAAGGAGACCTAAATGTATTCATGGAGGAAAATGGGTCATTCGTGACTGTTTATTAGTAATTTTAGGTAATATTAGGTATTTATTTAAGACTTAGCTTCTTATTTAATGTATTATTATTATTATAATTATCATTATTTAATACCCTTGAGCTGTAGTAAGCTATTCTAGTACTTCTACACCTAGTGCGGGTGGCAAAACCCTTTATATGGGAAGAAAAAACCCCTCGCCCCGATTTAGTGTCGTCTCCGCCCCGTCCTAACCTCGCGGTTAAACGGGGCGCGTTCTTATTTAATATATAAAAATTTATCAATAAGCTATAAAAGGTAATATGTAAGCACCTTATAGGTTCACGTATTTTTTAGGGGTCGTGCTAATCGTGCTACTAACCCTAGCTATTCGTGCTACCACCCCACCCTAATTTTAGGCTTACACCCTAACCTACTACGCCCCGCTATATAATTTCACATATATTACCCTAATAATAAGGGGGTTATTACGAA